GAACTCCATGCACATGCTCGTTATGAAATCGGTAGCATTTAGAAAGTAAAATAAGTTTTTTTTCGTGTCATTTGCTTTCAGACGTGCTTGTTTTCCTTCAGATGTTTGTCATGGCAATGTGGTTCATCAATTCCGCTGTTCAGCCAGGTAAAACATGTGTTTATTCCTACCCTTGGGACTTGTGCCTCATAATGATTTAATAACGATTCCTGCAGCACCAAGGGTTACAGTAGGTAGAGAGATAGAAAAGAAGTATATTAAGTTAAGGCCCTTTTTCCCGGAAAGTGTGCATGGCAATGTTTAAAGCTATTATGACATTATTTTTATGCAAATGAAATAGTGGAACCGTGATAACGTGCACTTACCATACACACTATCTGGGTCCTGGTTTATCAGTAACGGACTGCTACGAGATCACAAGCCGTTTACGTGGGCATATTCAGACGATTGAAGACACCAAGGATAAATGCTTCGTTGTATTCCTAGCAATTTTTGACATGTTTGTTGTACTCGGTTTTGAGGCAAATGCTGCTAATGTTCCAGATAACATAAGAAATAGGCTTTATTCTTTTTACTCTTATCCAGCAGGTGTACTTCTTGACCCTAACTAAACATCCATGAGCTACAGTCCATCAAGAAAGACGTTCATTAAAAAAAGTTGAATTTTACTCCAGTACTGAAAGAATGGATATTAAATACTACGTACAAGCTTTGCTTTCATAAAAAGACGATTTTAGACGTTGTTAGGGTAATTAGCTGTTTTTCTTTTTCTAGTTTTTTTCGTTGCTGTTTTTAAGTATATTTTGTTCAATATTGTCCGCCCTCTTACTATTTTTAGTTTGTTTGTTTTGTTTCGTCATGGTTTCCTATTTTATTTTCTGGGTAACAGGTAGTCTTGCGACATATCATGTTGCCGTGCTCGTGTCCCAGAATAACGTTTGTATGACCTATCGGTCTCTCTCTTGTTTCAGCATTAAACTGCATTCAGCGTTTGTTTAAAAGTTTGCTTTGTGTATCTGGTGTTTCTTTAAACCCCGAGTGTATGTTTTGGTCGTAGCTTTAGATTTTATTTGGTCCGTTCAATTTTTAAACTTGTAGACAATTATTTCTGTTCAATTAAAGATGCTGATTATAATCTGAGAATCCTTTTTTACTTCTTTGCCTCTCTTGTATCTACTTAATTATCGTTTTCTGGTAAAGAATTAAAAGGCAGCCCTTGTTCTGGGAGCGTGACCAGAAGCTTGACCAGGAAAAAAGCAAAGCTTTAGAAATAAATTTCCAAACACTTCGTCGTCAGTCATCAAACACAAGAAACTTCAATCTAGATTTTTACTCTAGCAACTGCGTTGGTTGCCCCTAAAATGGCTAATTTTGCGCCAAAACGAAACGTAACATATATGTCTGGAACTACCTTCCCTAGCCTACTGAGTTTTTTTACCCCTTCTCCCAGAGTCTGTACGGGTGGATGCTTACGCGGACTTCATAACCAAATTTCCTCGCATGACTTCATGCGCGCGTGGAGCTCCGCTATGATGTAAAGGAAATAAACTAAAATAACATTTTTTTAAGGAGATATTTTTTTTGAAACCGAAATGCTGAATGCACACTTACCATGATAGCGGACAGCGCGCCAGACTGGTAACGACTTTAGCACGAAAACGAGGTCAGTAAGGCCTCGGCGCCTCAATGCGCTCTATTAATCCAAATCAAAACAAGGTCAAAAGGTTTTTATTGCTAGGTCAATTACTGCCAATTGTCAGTTCGAGACAAAAATGCCAACACACTTTTGTGTTCCTGGATGTCTAAAGAAATGGCTACCGAAATACCAATGGAACTTCAAGTCGTGCCACAGCTCTGAAACGGCTTTGTTGAAAGTTAACGTTATAGAAGAACACCTATCATGTGTCCATTGCTTTGCTGATGACAGTCATTTATATTTAAGTTTTAAACCAGATGGCCAATTCAGTCAAGATGCTGCAATGAAGGCTATGGAAAGGTACATTGCAGACATTCGAAGCTGGATGATCAATGATAGACTCCTACTACTCTATTGTGTTTCAAAACAAGACGATGTCACAAATTTTTGTCCAACTGGATATATTTCCGGATAGCCCTGAAATGAAACACAAAGGCAGTTATTTTTCTATTTCTGCCTAGAATTTTGATGTTAAGGAAATACTACTCCGATCAGTTAGTGTCACAGTTTTTAGATTAGACGAATACAAATGGAATGTCTTGAAACCCAAGTAAATGTAAAGAGTTGACGATCAAAAAGAGAGGCAACCACGGTCTCTATTCACCTATTTTGGGATGATACCAAGCTGTAAAGAAGTTGAGATTTTGGGCGTCACCTTCCAATGTGACAGCAAATTTTCAGTGCACGTGAGGAACAAACTTATTAAAGCTAACAAATCCCTACATATCCTTAGAACGCTGCACAAAGAAGATGTCAGTCAGAAATAGACCTTCTCTTTAATACTATAGTTCTACCTAATATTAATTACGCATTGTCTGTCTACGCCGCGTCCGAGTCCGATCTTACACCCGGACAATGTTTCTTAGACCGCTGTTTTAAAAGGAAATATACGTCTAAACCTGCAAGTGTTTATGATTTCTTAGAGAGGCAAGACCGTAAAATTTTCAGAAAAGTTTCCAATGCCAAAGGACATCCACTTTTATCTATTATGCCTCGTGTTAAACCCTCCAGCTACAATCTTAGGAAAGAAACTTGTTTTAAACCTAAGATTAACACTATGCGCTTTAAAAACTCTTTTATTAATCGTTTGTAATATACTAGATATATATACCGGTATATATTTTTTAATTCTTACTTTTTAACTTTTTAAAATTTCTTACACTTACTTGTAACAAAAGATATGTATTTTTATCTCTTGATGAATAAAGACTTTATTATTATTATTATTATTATTATTATTATTATTATTATTATTATTATATTATTATTATTATACACTAAAATAATAAATCTGCGACCTGAAACTTAATTTCAAGAAGATATTGCTCATGCCAGCCACAAAATCGATATAAAATCATTGTTTTGTTTGAAGCCGAAGTGCTAAACGCGCAGGTACGTAAAGTACGAATTCCAAATTACGAGGTTCATAAAGCCCTAAGTGCTATAAATCGAGTCTCATGATGTAGCTTTTTTTTTGGCATTTTTATTCTCATGAATCACCAAAGCGAACTTATTTCTTAGAATAGTATTATCCCTTATACATACAGATTTATAAAACTGCCAAAAATATTTTACCTGATAGCTATCTAGGGCTTACTATAATTTATATTATTAGGATGTGTCCAAAAAGGCCATCCGCTATTAAAAAGAAGTAAAGTGAAGGAGATATATGATCGTCGGGGTAAGTACATTCCTGATAAGGACTACGTGTTGTAATTGTTGACAATAACTGACGTTCCAAAAACCTGTGCGGTATACCATCCACAAATTACTTTGAATCGGAACATACTTACATTGTGCGCTATTCGTGTTTGCTCCGGTGATGTAGTGCATCAGTTTTCTAAGAAGAGAGGGACGAAATTAAAGTGAGCCTTAATCAAGTACAGGTATAAATATGAATATACAAGCATACCTTCTTAATCTAAGCATAAAAATAAAATCATACGTGAGGTCGCGTGACCTATAGAGCGTCGTCGGACTCTCCCTAAATCCGGTGTTCCCGGTTTCGAGTCCAGGTCTGGGCACTTGCTCGTTGGCACCGAGTTCAAAATATCCTCGGCCACGCCAGTTGGGATTTTGAATTATGTTTTGTTCTATTTGAATTACTAATTCCCTAATTATTTGGCTAGAGTTCCCGTAAACTAGCTAATTTTTAGGAAACGTCGCTAATTTTGGTGGTCATAGTTGAACGGTTTTTCATTTTTTATTGTTCGAAAATCCTCTTCTCCGGTCTGAGTAGGGGTAACTTGCCTGGGTTGTTAAGCCCTAAGGCAGTCATAATTAATCCACTACAAAGTTATACCACTTCAACGAACATATTAAACAATTCCAAACAAATGTTTTCCTGTTTATACCTAGTGCAGTTTTCTCCTTACTTCTTCTACGTAAGTAACAACCAGTTGTATTTACGCTGGTTACTAGCAGTTTTAGGAAGTCCAGTCGTCGCTGGTGGCGGCATTGTGTTAACTCCGACAGGAAAGGCTACAAAAAAAAGGAAAGCATGTGGAGACTGTTTCTTCTTAAATTGATAGCTGGAACCAATCCTAGCAGACATGTTAGCAAGATAGAGCTTTTTTAGTCATCTGGTGAGAAGATATACAAATTTATTGGAACAGAGGAATTCGTATACATAAAAAAAGAGTTCAATTCCCACAGGACTGGCTTTGGAAACCACTATGGCCGCCGTTTCATTATTAAGGGACAATAACGTGGAGTTCCCAACAACGTGGCGGTCGTGACGTCATATGAAAACGCTCTATGCAGTATGAGTTTCAAAGACATTAACTACTTGCTCTCCATGGGTCTCCTCGTAGTTTAGTGAAAAGAGTACCTGCCCAATATTTGGGATACTATAGGCTCGAATTCTGTCGGTGGCTAAGCTTTTTTTTACTTTACAATTACATCGTTTAAACTGAGTTAACAATTGCCGATACCCTGCCCTACAATTATTTAATCCCCTCTAGTAAGCCTCACGCAGCTGTTTTTTTTATTTTCATTACAAACAGTACAATGTTCTTATCTATAGTTTATTGATTAATTTTTAGATAGAGTTTTTCAATTAGCCGATTGGCCGTATTCGGTTGCACAGGACTGTTGCATCTTCCTGTCAAAGCAAATAGATTTTAACCTAATACACCCAGACTTAATCAAAAGAAATATTCTAATAAACTCATAATAAACCATGGATTTATTTGAGAAATGAACTCGTCTTCCATTAATAGGAAACGTTAAGTAAGATATTTTTCCTTGTTGTGTGTTATATATTTTTTGCTGCATTTTTTACGAAAGAAAAAGAGACAAAATTCATACCGCATCGGTAGAGTTTCTTTGCCTGATCTGCATCTAGAGCACTTAAACCATCTCGCTGACCAATGATGTTCTGGAACTAAAGAAATTGTTATTGTTTAGGTTTTTTTTTAAATTAATGCTAGACCAAAAGTTGAATGTCACAGGTATGTAATGCTGGTTTTCACCGAACGTCATTTTCACTTCGAAAGTGTTCTTCGCTTTATGATGGAGTGCGCTCGAAATTTCTAAACTTTTGCATGACGAGGCATTTATGTGGCAAGCGAGAGAGCTGTCGTTTAGGTTAAAAAAGTGACGTATTTTGGGGGATTTTGCTATCCTAACAATCTTGTATTAAAAAAGGTATTGCTGTAATGTGCATGCGTTTCACGAGGGGTGAATTCACGCTTTCAAAGCAAAACTTGGTAACAGATATTTCTTCTGGTTTCTGGCCTCCATGTTAGTGCCTCTCAGAGGAACAACAACATGGCGTCTCCATACAAAGCTAAAACGTTTCTTCGAGTATCTCGCAAACGGAAAAATTAGATCGACCTGAATCTAGGCAAGGGTCTTTGCATATTCACCTGCTTTCATTTCCCAGGTTCTGGACTTAAGCTAATGAACGGTTTTGTTTGTTTGTTTTCGATGGCGTGGCAGTTAAAACCAGCAATTTTCAGGCAAGAGAACCATGAATTAAGAAATACAATGGAATAATTCTATATAGCAGCTGGTGATTGGTTGCGATTTTCAGAGTAATGTCGTGATAAGCCTCTTTTATAATCATCTGCACAAATGATTTTTGAATTTGAATTTGTCATCAGAAAATAAGTTTTTAAATCTTAAAACGATTGCTATTGATGTTAAGGTATAAGGTTGTGATTGATATCAATTGTTATTTTAATGTTTTAATGATCACATATTATACTTCACGTACCCCTGGCTGTTTAACCAATATGGTGGGCAGCCCATTTTTAGTGAATGCGTTTGCTTTATAATGCATCACACTGCGGTAATCGTACGGGGATCCAAGAGAGTCGATATAAAATTTGCCGTATTTTGCAAAGGCATATTTTTTATCTGAAAAAGAAACGTTTAATTTAAGTCATAATTTACTTTAAGCAAGTTGTTCCAGAGGGGTAATAAACTAGGATCAACATTTGATTTAGCAAAAGGCTGTGGCGTGCTAAAAGGAATCAATTCAATAGACCTCATTCACGATACCCGCCATCTTTGCAAGCGCTTAAAGACTGATGGGTTAAAAGCCATGTCACGTGGTTTCTCAGGGGGCAATCAAGTGGAAAAAATTGCCAATGCAAGATATCTCAGCCGATTTAATTATTTTAGAAACATAATATGAGGAACTTTTTATCATAAAGACGATAATGGGAAATTATGGGCATAAGTTATCATTGTCACTTTTTTGGATGTAGTAGCGACTGTTGATGCCCTCAGAACAAACAATGATGACGAGAATATTTTTGACCATTTCTTTTTTTTTTGTTTTGTTTTTTCTTTAATTATGATAACAGCCTTTCTATACACCCGTCTTGTTTGTGATTGATGTCAATTTTCTCACCATTGACATAAATACTTTAAAACAAGGAATCGTCATGATCATCATCATCATCATCATCATCATTGTCGTCGTCAGTCTTCGTCATCTTTGTCATCGTTGTCATCCCCACCATTTTTAAATAATTCAGTACGTACCTACCTGGCAATATGTTATCCCACAAAATAGAAACGTATATATCTCTGTCAGGACGAGATTGTTCGTGGTAAAAACCCAAAGAAAGCCCTGTAAAAAGAGATGTTTTTAGCAGAGCGTCTGCCCCCGTAAAGCGTGCGAAGCCTCCATTGCTATAGAAAGTAGAAACCTATCGGTGTCAGACGGTTTGGTTATGACGTCATTGTACACCTTCCAACGCACACCGGTTCGTCTGTACAGACTGTGGGGATAGGGAAGGGGAGTTTAAGGGTGTCCCAGACATGGACATGGTGTATGCTCTTGGCGTAAAATTAACCAGTTTAGGGACAGCCAATGCAGTACATATTTCACTGAAATCTTATTCACGTTTTATTCCTCATTCTATTAACATAAATTTACTAAAACGAGTTCGCATTTTTGGACTGTTTTAAATAGTTTTGACGTAGTCTGTGTAGACTAAAAAGTTGTAGTTACTCATCTGGGAAATGTAAAATAAATTGTATACCGTCCTCCGTCTTCTGTTCAGAAGAAAGAAACACACATTAAGTAGGTTAAGGCCTTAAGGCTTTTTCAGAATTTTAAAAGAGGGGTGGTCTACTGCAAAGCAATTTCAAGATATCCCATGGCTAATAACGTAAGGCTTATCATAATTAATCAAGAAATCTCCTAGTTTTCTTTTAAAAATTGTTTTTAACGTTTTCCTTTTGTAGGTTCAAACATTGGCTGCTAATAATCTTCTCCTAAAAACAGTCAAAATGAGACGTCTGTCTATCAGTTGATGAACAAAAATTGTCCCGCTACAAATAGTGACGCTTCGAATTGCTCCAAGCTGATATTTTAGACACATTGTTAGGTCAATGTTTTGATACAGTCACTGCACGAAAAATTTGATTTACATCAAATTTACTCAGTGCAAATTTGGTGCAAAAAAGTGCAAACTTAGGTTAAACATAAGGCAAAGATGGTAAATACCGCATTTGCCCTCAAATTTACAACCCCATGTAAACTGGCAAGCAAATGCGGTATTTACCATCTTTGCTTTTGATTTACTCCTAGTTTGCACTTTTTTGCACCATATTTGCACCGAGTAAATTTGTGTAAACCCAATTTTTCGTGCAGTGAGTAAAACTTGAGCTTTACGCGTAGCAAGCGATGGGATTCGTTTGTATCAATTTTCGAACAATAGAGGGCGTGGTCTATGACGTGACCAGGTAATTTCGATTTCTTTCTAATTTTTGATAAAGTGTACGAGTCCTCAACTTCTACGTTCGCAAGATTTAGATCAACTTTTGTGACTTAGAAGGAGTAAAAGTGATTAGTTATAGTGTTAGTTTTTTTGGCTCAGTTACGATGCAGTCAGAATGATATGCTTAACTACAGGTCTAGCGCAGTTCTATAATCAAAGTAAATCATATGCAAATTCCCTTCAAGTTGGCAGCAAATCTTTGAAAGCTTTAAAGAGCAAAATTTCTTCGAATAGAAATTTCTTACGATTGCGTTGTCATTGGAGGATATGGAACTAGGACTAAAAATTCCTATGGAAAGCTTTCCTTCTCGTTTAGCTGAATTTTTTTTTTTAAGTTTAGCTTACTTTATCATCTACCATTCCTCACGGGTGTCTTTCACAGTGGTTTTTGAAAATGTTCGTAAAAAACACAAATAACTTAGAACCAGGCTTTAATCTACTTATTGGGCAAGCGCGGTCATTCCACGCGTGCTGAACGAGAATGCTGTATCATGACAGTCTAGAAACAATAGAAAACTCCCAAAGGACAAACTCAGCCAAAAACGTTAAAAATTATCAATATTTACTCAAGTTTGGGCTTAGAGAAGATAATGTCACAGTTTTTCAATGATCATGAAATTCAGAATCCTGGTAGTTAGTTAATCAACTGAGGCCCTGAAAAAAATTTGAAGAAAAAAAAAAACTAAGATATTTTTTAAGAAAATGCTTTTTTTGTGAGAAGGACTCTTCAACGCTGACAAACGTCAACAAATAGCTAAAACTATAATTTCTAAATGTTTGTATTGCTCGAAATCGCGCCCATTTACAAAGCCCTAAAGCTTTTTGATGACTTGCAAGGGCCCATATGTTATAAAGATTCTTAAAAATAAAGGGATAAATCTCATAGTTTATTAGACATAATCGTGTAAAGTTTGCTTATCATTTTATCATTTTAACATGAATTATGATCTAAATATGGAAACCGCTGAATTTCTCGCATTGGGTGTTTGCGATTTTGGTGAAACTCTGTTCAACGCAAGGCAGTAATGCGCACTATATGTAGCGAAGAGATTTTCACGAAAAAATACCGGCAAAAAAATCCCTGATTGTAGGTTTTATTACTATAACAAAACCTAAAATCAACAATAACTGAATTACAGTATGTAACAATTATTCACCGAAGTGGAGGTGGCTAGTGGTGGATATATTTACTGCGCGAAGCGGCAAAGTAAATGACCACCACTAGCCACCGACTAAAACAGAGATAATTGAGCACAAATGTGATGATTTTTAACTCATTTACTGTTGCCAACGATTACAATTTTGGCGCGCAATGACCGAACGGCCGCGGTAGTCGCTTTTTCTTGCCGACAAATTAAACTTTTGAAGGCATTTGTTTACGTCTTGCGGGGAAATTTTTTCAAAAGGAGTTGTGAATTCTTTTTTAAATTTAAAATCATTATGTAAAAAGATTATTAAATTTAGTTTTAGCTCATTTATGAACAAATCAAGTAAATAAATTGACCCAAGACTTAAGCTTAATTTGCATTTGTAAACAAAAAACTTTTTCACCGGTTTTATCGATAAATTCAAGTCAAAAAGATCATAAAAGCTTCACCAGTTAAAACTTCCAAACTGAACTTCGTCACCTTCTTTGTGTGTTTCGGGAACAGCTCGCTTGATTAATTAGTTCTGAAATTTCTTTGTTCGTTACGGCAGCAAACCGGGAAGGCATATTGGTCGCAACTTACGTGAGTTTGGCGTCGCTCGCAGGGAGGAACTGGAGGTAAATCAGGGAATAGAGCAGGATATTCACTGATTGAGTGGCCAATCAGAGCGGGCGAAAAACACTATCCAGTGTTTTAGTATATGAATGAATGAATGAATGAATGAATGAATGAATAAATAAATGGACGGACGGACGGACGGACGGACGGACGAACGAATAAATGAACGAACGAACGAATGAACGAATGAATGAATGAATGAACGAACGAACGAACGAACGAACGAACGAACGAACGAACGAACGAACGAAATAACTTTGAGTGTCAAGGTTTTAACTTATATTACCTATTTCGTGAGCGACATAGCCCCTGCCCCAACACCCGTCGCCAAGAATAATGTCCTGACGGGATCCTATTTTACCCACCGGCGAAAAACAGCTGCGTAATATAAAAATATGTAAATGATTATCGTCCCACATATCCACATGACAAATCAGTGGTGTCTTTAGAGGAAAGGAGGGAAGGAAAATGTATTTCAATAGGGATAAACAAATGTTTTGATTGAAAGAAATAGAAATTATTTAATTACGCTAAGTATGATTTGAAAAATTATGGAGCTCAAGGAGGCCGAGCGAATATTTGGGAGCTTAAGCAAAGTCGTGTTTGAGCGACGCATACTCAACAGGCGTGATCATGACTAAGTTTGCGCACACGGATGGATGAGCGCTCCGTCTACCTCAAAATTATTAGTTATTACTGTCACGAGTTATCGATCATGTTTGCTTTACCTTTCACCTTTTATATCGTAAACGTCTTCCAAGTGTTGTGTACACTAGGTGGTTGTGAAGAATTATCCATAGGCAGGAGTCCGTTCCTGCCGTAGGATTTAAGCCATTCAGAAACGGAGAAATATTTTTGAATGAATAATAATATATAACAGCCTTTCATACACGACTGGGAATATTAGTTTTAAACATCATGGAAACCGCTTCTTACCCCGAGCCATATTTAAAATAGGCGTAATCCGTCTCAGTTGTTCGTTTTCTAAAGCGGATGCACGTCTTACGGCTCCATTCATCCATCCCCGCTATTATGGCTGCCATTGCTGTTGGAATATTAGCTACAAGAAAAGTTATTTAAAGAAAATCAGAAGTTTCGTACGGAATCATTGAGTTTTTTGTTTCGTGTAAGCGTTGATTGGCTGGTACTGTGTTGTAAGAAAAAGGCTCACCAAGTACTGGCGAAATGTCGTAGATCAAAACTCCGTTAGGCCAAAGTGGACCTCTACTCGCACCTCCTTGTTTGTTAGGTGCAGAAACGTCCAGTCCCATCATGGCATAAGCACGCTGCTCAGGTGTAAGAATCATGTCTCCCTCAAACAAATCTGGATCTTTAATGTCACGATTTTCTGCAAACAAAAATCGTACAAATAATGTTTATTTTTCAGTTATTGAAATAGGGGGTGTTTATAATATTCAACATGCTCTGCAGATAAAACGTAAAGCAATTAAACGCTTAAGGGGACATAAAAAATCGATTATACCAGCAAGTAAAAACTATTGATTACCGTCAGAATTGATTGGCGCACTGAACACCATTTTAATCATCAAAAGCATGGCAAAGGCCTTCATTTTGTTTCTCGATGTATATAACTGGTGAACCTAAGAATAAGAAATAGACTAAGTAATCAGTGCAGGAAAAAAAAAAACAACAACAAGAGCCATACATATTTAACGAGCTAATAACTATAAACTACAGTGTAGTTATTCATGGGGAAAACATTCAATATATATTTTTTATCCTATTCTGAACTCTAGCACAGAGCAAGGTTAAAGTGTCGAAAAAATGATTTTACACATCCAAAGACAAAGATTGACTATGGAATTTTTGCAATAAATGAATGATTTATTTTCAACTGAAATATTCATAGAAGAAAGAACAGAAAAAAAAAAAAAAAACATCATGACTACCAATGCAATGTTTCAATTGGAAAAAAAAATCTATTCACTGAAGAAACTCAAAACATGCAAGATAAAAAAATAAATGTATCTAGGGTATCGAATGTTAAGTAACTTTTCTCCTTACATAGAATTCTAAAATAATGAGGTTAGTTTTCTAAATACTAAAAAGCTAAGTAACGAACTTAAGTAAATAACAAGGTGTCTCATAAGAGATAAGTACCTTCTACTCCAACAGCGGAGGAAGACCATCAGAGAATTATGCTCATCTAGGATAGTTCCTTTTGCCAAATACGACTATTTATATGTTTTTCCTTTCAAGAAATCGTGTGCTCCAAAAATAGAAATCAATTGAAGTAATTTATAAACTCAAGAGTTTCAGGTGTTAAAGTATCATTCAACTACAATTGTATATATATACCGAATAAATATAGTCTTTCCCATGAGTGCTATGATATAGCACCAAATGTTCTTCACTTTCTTCTTTTTCTCGAAATCGATTGGCGTTAATTTAATTCCCACAAATCCTGACCAGTCGCTTTTTATTATCAGTATCCTTCCAAAATTACGTCTTGATCTATTTTTTTCCTTTATACTTACCTGACTATGTTGTTGTTCAACCTATTATGCGAATAAAATATGTTTGTTTAACTCGCCGTGCTTTCGTTTTATTTAATTGCCGTAGCAACAACCAACAAAAAACAAGAATAATGCTCCACAGGGGAAAAATTTTCCTCAAATCATGCTAGAGGAGTTTTGAGCCGCCTTAATTCCTTGGCACCTAGAACACGCAAAAGTAAGCACTGACGGCATATACGTGTAAACATACAGAGAAAAAAGAGGTGAAAAAAAAAAAAAAACTTTTTTGGGGTAATAAAAGTAAAATATTTCATATTCATTTATAAGTAACCGTATTATTTTTAAACATTTTAACGCAAAGTCCTTAATTCCTTGGCACCTAGAAAACGCAAAAAAAAGCACTGAAGGAAAATAGTAGTAAACAAACAGAAAAAAAAAAGGTTAAAAAAAAAAAAAAACTTTTTCGGGGTAATCAATGTAAATTATTTCATCTTGATTTATAAGTGACCGTATTATTTTTAGGCATTTTAACGCGGAGGAGTTTGTTCAATATTATTCTTTATCGGTTTAGGCAAACATTGCAGTGCATAGCTTAGCTAATATAATAATTATTTGAGGTATAAGCTTTAATCTGGCACCGAACAGAACGCAGAATTATTAAGGGAGGTCAAGAGAGAATGGAGGTCTGTTTTAGCCTGAGTTTAATGAAACTAGCCAGTTACGTAAAGACATTTGGCAATAAGTGATTTCATTTTACCATTATTATAGATTTATTTAAATCGCTCTTTTAGTAACAAACCTATATCTGTTATCGTACGTTCAATATTTAGACAATTTAAGATTAACTTCTCCATCCTAGCCAATAGTCTCCTTTTGTTTATTTGAAGGGTTTCAAATTTTTGAAATAAACGCGTAGACATTACGACGACAAGTCATATTGGAAACAGTTGACACGTCACTGCAAGGCCAGAAAAAGAAACTGACATCTCAAGGGGTTTAAGGCCTGGGTCAAAGGTGTGTTCGGAGAATATGAATGATTTACAAAATCTCTCGCAAGGAGGCCTAGAACAAAATGAATTTTCCCCAAAAGTAAATCTTGAGGTTTTCTTGTGCCTTAACGTCTAATCATGGACACGTGACATGTCACCGCGTGACCAAAAATTGAAAATGAAGGAAATTGGTGAATTGATGGCGAATTTACTTTATTTGGACAAACAAATTGGCATTTCTGAAAGAGGATAAACATACCTATAACTTTCTACGTTAGGAATGAATGTACGCGAAGTTTAAAACTAAAGTTTGAAATAATTCAAGATTAGATTTGTGCATTTTAAATGATGTTTTCCTCAAAATTTTTTCATGAAATGCAATGGACGGTCATTGCAAACATGAAGAGTTAGAAATATTTAATAATATTTAATTTTGTGTGCCAAATTTTGATTCAGGGCCTTCATCTATGCCGAAGTTATAGGCAATAAATTATTTTATACAGGTAAACCCTTCAGTCCCAGGCCTCAAACTACTTGAGATCGAAAATTGTTTTGACTTTCTTTTCTATAGATTTTAAAATAATGTTTCAACCAAAGCCATTTTTTACCGTGGGTCATTTGAAAATGGGACAAACATCACTATTTACGCTGACTTTCATTAGTAAGCTGTACGATTGAGGTGCTGCTTTTCCATCTGACTAAAAAAGATTAAGTAAGTCAAAAAAAAAGAGGGAGAAATAAATAAATACGTAAAATATATAATTAATTGCTTGTAGTAGAGAAAGTTCACAAAATCTATGCGCGGTAACGTATCTCCGCAGACGTTATCTAACCCCGAGATCCTTGTTCCGGACCTCCAACAGACTCAATGTTTTCCCGGCAGTACGTTATATCGAATTTACCATCAACCTAATTGGCAGGCCGAACAATGACTTTTTTACATGTCAAAGCCAACCATGGCGCGTACTGCAATCATTTTGGTACACAGCTGAGCACAGAACAAGGATTTCGGCATTGGCCTGCAAACGGACTTATAATTAGCCAGAGGTTTAGTGTTGTCTGTGACGCAGGGTAACGCGCAGTGCAGGGAAGCTGGTGTAAAATTTCATCTCTCAAACATACAATGCCACTTTTCGGTGTTCTTAGTTAAAAGAAGAAAAAAAAAAAACTTCTAGTTCACAACCCAGAATCAAATCTGGGCCTTACATATACTACCCTCTCAAATTTACCATTAAAGGATGCATTATTGTAACTGTCTTTCATATAACTGATACGTCTATAACAGGTACATATCTACAACAAACGCTATTCATTTGTGCAACTGCGTTTAATTTTATAGTTAATGTATTTGCTACACCTGCAGAGATTTCTAGAAAAAGAAAGGCATGGATCAATGCTAAATACACGTTACGTATACGTAACTGCCGTATCTTGTCGTCCTTTTGTCTCAGAAGTGTTTTTGTTTTAGTCCTTTTTGAGGATTTTGAGTTTACCGTTTACCGTATTGATCAAATTATCAACAACAAGATACCACAGGTTAGGAAATAAAAGGTTCATTTCCATGTAGCATTGATCCATACACATATTTTAAGACATAACGCTACAGATAAAGCAAATTAAGGTTAATTGAATGCATTTACTAAAAAATTACAAACGGCTACGCACACACAGATTGTGTGGGTTCCCTGTACTTATTTCAGGATATATGCTACTTCTTCCATGACTAAAAACTTGGTTACCAAAGATCACATTTTCGGGCAAACTAGCGGATTCTTTACAAATTAGGGGAAAACAGGGGCCATGCTGGCAGCGGGCGCTCTTTTATTGTTTGATTTTCGAGTGGTTTAGATTTCAACGGTCTCGTGACAGTGACATAAAAGGTAAAACCTTGTTCTGTACATTTATCGTTTTTCCAAAAATATGATACTATTCAGTTAACACACTTAACTGCTCCATTTCATAATTATTGATCCACAACATCTCTGCCCAAATGATTCAAAACTTCAAGTAGATAAGACATTAAGACGGATACATCCCGCTTACATCGTTGTGAAAACAGTGAGGTAAAATATAAATCCCTTTGAAAACCTCTGTATTGCTTCGTTATTGATTGTAAATAATTGTACTGCGTGTCTAATAAAACGGTTTACTCTTTGTTAGGCAAAATCAACTTTGGCAGAACAAAAGTATCTAGAAGACAGGGGACGGTCACAGACATTTGTCAGTCATTTGTCGCCGCAGGAACATGCACAAGTGATTCGACTTGTTGGGCGGAAGTGTACTTTTAACAGTCAAGTGTCCTTTAAATGGAGTTGAAACCGAAGCCTCTTTAGCATTTTAAGGAACACTGTCTTATTGGTCTTAGATAGGACATATGTATCCCGTACATTGATGACGTCGTAGTCTACAGAAAAGCATTTGAAGAACAGGTTAATCACATCCGACAAGTGCTTTAACATCTGCGTACCCATGGGATAAAGCTTACGCCAAAGACAAATAGTTTTTGCTTCAGGTTGCCGATTACTGAGATCTAACAAAGGTTGAGGCAGTTCTACCCTTGGAAAACATGGCCCTTCTGGGGTATTACCGCAGTACAACCAAAAGATTTCACGAACAGCGCACCAACTCTTTCAGTTATTGCAAGCAGAACCTGACAGTGTGGCCAGAGCGGTGCGTAAAATCAAAGTACACTCTAAACATTGATCAGTACCTTCTCCACAACCTTTTGTTTGGGGGGTGGGGGGGGGGGGGGGGG